ACGCGCAAATGGTAGGGGGAGTTGAGCACGCTTGGCCGATTTAGAGTCACGCTTGTTGGGGGGGGGGAGGAAAAGGCCCGACATAGGGGTGTTTGGTGTGCGTGTGTGTGAGAGAGAGTCGTAACCAAGCTAGTGCCAGTGTTTGTATTAGTTTGGAATGCTCTGGTGGGTTGACGACTTGTAGTACCCATTAAGAGTGGTGTTGGCATTGGCTGGCGCGGAAGGCCGGGGTGATGACACAACGTCCTGTCATTGGTGGGATGTTGCTCCTCGTAAGCACATGTGCATGACGTCATTGTACTGTCTTCGTGCCAGCTAAAACTCATACATGTTGAGGGGGGGGGGTGAGTTGTGTCTAAATTGGTTATATTCTTCCAAGATAGCCGAGGATGGGGTCAAGGTCACCGGTGATAGATAACCCACCGCTGCTATCATATATAGTTTATAACAACTCCTCGATAATTGACCCTTTAGATGGAGACATGGCTGTTAACTGTGTGTTATCCGGGCTGAGCTGTATCCTCAGACCGTGTATTGTTATTGTTTGTTTTGGCTCTTATTTTAGCGTCTTGGCTTAGAGCGAGCATCGTGCCTTGTGTTTATGATACCACTGAATGTTATTAATGCAGCCTTAAACACTTTATTTAGTTAGATTTGTTTTTGGTGAAGTAGATGTTGAGCCTACTCGATTGTGTACTAAATATATATGTGTAATAATAATAATAATAATAATAATAATAATTAACGGTTTAATGAAAAAATTTTGCAGCCCGAAGGCTGAAAATATACATTGGACATAAATGACTTATTACATACATTGGTGGTTTAACAAAAGCCTTCATTAGAGAAAGGTAAAGGAACATACAGTGAACATACAGATTAATGTAGGTGTTGAACAGCAATCTCGTAGTGTAGTAACTCCCTCCCAGATGGTGTTAGGAGGAACTCACGTGGTGTAGTAGTTCCCTCAGATGGTGTGTGTGTGTGTGTGTGTTACTCGGGAGCTGTCACCTTTAATTGCCGGGTTGATGCGAAAGTTACGGAGGTTGTGTTGTCGTAGACGAGGCTTTAAAGTTTAGATATAAAGGATCACCTGAAGATTAGCCACCCCCAGCTTATTACACCTGAGGATTAACAGACCTAGTGCTAACCTAACCCCCAGGTAGCTTTAGTGTTTTTAGACTTATAATCAAGTGAAACAAAGCAGGGGCGAGGTTTTACACACACACACACACACACACACACACACACACACACACACACACACACACACACACACGCGCGCGCGGTAAGCTGTTTGTCAAGGTGTGTGTGTGTACTAACGCCACCCACTTGTGTTTCGCCATGAGACGCGGCCCACAAGGTGCATTGCGTTATGAATCCAGCTGGCGTAAGAGTGATGTGGGTTAGTTGTGTGTGTGTGTATTCATGAGTGGGAAGGTGAACTTAGACTAGTTGGGGGGGTTCAGGTGAACTTGGACTAGTTAGGGAGGTGCAGGCGAACTTGGACTAGCTGGGGAGATGCAGGTGAGGTAGGACAGGTGAGAGAGTGAGGCAGCAGACGCGGGACGGGCCGGGCTGGACTGGGGCCGGGTGTCGGTGCAGTGGCTGCCTGAGGCGACTTACTCACTGGTCAGGAGGGCTGGACGACCACACTAGGCAACTCACCTGTCCTCGGATCCCGGCGTTATTTTATACCTAACATATTTAATTCCATTGGATGATTCACCTGTGATTATGTAGGAGCACTTTAATAGTGAGTGGCGATGGTGGTTGGGGATTGATAGTGGTTAGGGTTGGAAGCGATGGTGGTTAGAGATGAGAGGCTGGAGATGGTTGTTGGGGATTGGAGGCTGGAGATGGTGGTTGGGGATTGTAGGTTGGAGATGGTGGTTGGATTACTCAAGGTGTTTGTCAGTCTTAAAGATCACACAGAAAATTTCACTTCAGATGCATAGGCTACCATACTAGGCCAAAACTGTGTGTAGTGGTGGGAGTGTAAGGGCGGCTGGGTGTGGTGGTGGTGTAGCCCGGCGTTGGAGGTCTTCTAGGTAGTGGTGTTGATGGTGGTGTCCTCGCTCCACTTGAAGGTGGTGGCCTGTTCCTCTAGGTCTTCCTGTTGAGGCCGCTTCTGTCTGTGATTTTCTCCTCTTCTCGCTCTTCCGTTGCTTCTACTCGTGACAACATTGAGTGTGTGTGTTGACGGTGGTGGCGTTGTGGGTGGTGACGGTACGGTAATACTGTACTGAGTGAGGGAGGAGGGGAAGCGGACAAAGGTTGGTCATGCGCCGGTGAACAAGCGGGCGCCACCAGCAGCAGCAACAGCGGTAACACAGCGTACTGCTCCGCCCTTCCTTCCCACCTCCCACAGTCATGCACTAACAGCGACAGCGGCAGGAAGCATCTCGTTATCCCCCCGACTGGGATACTTCCACAATACTCACAATGGACCACAATATGTCACCCCGCTCACATCTCTTCCCCCTTCAACCCCTCACCCCGCTAACATGTCTCCTCCCCTTCACCCTCTCTCGCCCCGTTCACATCTCCCCATTGACTCGTCCACCTTAACACCCACACACCGTTTACTCCCCAACATCACCCCCCCACACACACACACACACATGTATACGTACATTATTATTTTCACGCTCGGTTTTTACGGGTTATTTATGGATTGATTGAAAATACAGATAGTTGTGTTTTGAACCAGTCTTTGTTAATGACACACACACACACACACACACACACACACACACACACACACACACACACGAAAGAGCTTCTGCGTTTGTCTTTCTTTCCGTGTGTGTGTGTGTGTCAACAGGTAACCAGTTCAGTGTTTCACCGATGTTATTAGGTTGTGGAGAGAGAGAGGGAGGGAGGGGGGTATGAAGAGCGCCCAGCCACCACTGTGTATGTTGAAGGTAGCACGTTTAGGGGGGGTAAATATTTTATCATGAGCGGCTGTTTGTTGACGTGACGGATCAGGACTACTTGACGTGTGCGCCCGCCAACCTTATCTCTCCCTCCCCCCTACCTCCCCTCCCCTCCCCCCGTTCCTCTTTGTATACGTGGCTGGCTGGCTGTTTGGTTGCGTGGGTGGAGGGCGGGGGAGGAAATTTTTTTTTTTAATGAATTTTAATTCTGAATACAGCCTAAAGATATAATTGATTGATTGCTAAAGGTGTTAAACATAAATCTGGTTCTCTCTTTTCCCACTGTCCTCCTCCTCCTCCTCCATCCACCCTCACTTTGCTGTCCACGTACCCAAGGAGTGACGTAATAGTGCATGGTACCCAGATAACCTATTCAGCAATAGGGGAAGAATGTAAATCTGAAAACATATTGTGTGATTTGGACGTTGTGATGAGTTAGTGTGAGTTGGTAATATTTGGCGTGAGTGGTGTGTGTGTGTGGGGGTTGGATCATTCGCCACTGATGGTCCCGGAGGTAACGTGGGAGGAACAGTCAGCTGGAGGCTGAGGGCGTGTAGTGGCCGTATGTGCCTGTATTTACTAGCTGCATTTGTTTATAGGGGCCCCCAGTGAGGTCTGTTGGAGAGTCAGATGCATCTTATTTTTACGTTTTGGCGGGAATTTGCAATATATGGTAGGGGGAGGAGGAAGGATATACAGTACAAGGAGTAAGGAAGGATGGATGTTAGGAACTAGTTATGGTTTAATCTCCCCCATAGATGGCGCTGTACAATGTCGATGTGGGATATGATGCAGTCTCGAAGTAGTGTAATGAGACTTGTGTTTGTGACTAGACCAGGCGATGGAGTACTCTCAAGACGTCGAAGATAAAGGATCAAGTTGTCGCTTGGGTTAGGTTTGGTTAGGTTTCCTAGGACTCCGGAGGAATACACTTATTTGGAAGTGTTTATCGTCCCAGAATTAAGTAAGGTGTGTTGCTCCAGAAACCGATAGATAGAGAAGCCTGTCAGTGATAAGAAGTGGGTCCGTCTGTCTGTCTTGCTTCCCGTTGAGTCCTTCGTCTAACCCCTCGTCTTCATCGTGGGTGTTGTAGTGTAGTGTACTGTACCGGCAGGCCACTTCCGGGCGTGACCCAGAAAGGCTTTCATTCCTATACAGCAGCTTTAACCCCCCACCCCTTTTCCCCCCACTCCATCTTTTGTTCCTTGGTTGGATTAGGGAGGGGTGGAGTGGAGGGGCTACCGTAATACCATTAAGTGTTAATTACCGAGATAAATAATTTTGTTTTGTTATTTCTAAATATAATCATTGGATAGGGTTGTTTATGAGTGAGTGAGGGCGGGGAATGAGATTAATAGATATCTACAAGGACAGAGTGTCAAGTGTGTGTGTGTGTGTGTGTGTGTGTGAGGAGATGGGGTGGGTGTGGGTGGGTACAGTATACATGTACCGGGCTATCGACTTACACAACTAGGTTACAGATAAGGCTGAGAACGTCGTCATATTTTTCAGGGTATAGAGAACTGGGAATGTGTCCAGGTTTACAGCAGAGGTTGATTCTGATCTTGGAACAAGTTTGGGGAGTTGATATCAGGAGCTGCAGATTGTTTACTTGATGTAGAGATAGAAGAGAGAGTGTGTGTGTGTGGGGGGGGGGGGGGGGAGCTGTGTTGGGAGTCTGGGATCAATATTGTGGAGAAGCCAGCTAATGAACTGCAGGAGGAGTCTTCGATACCTGGCTGCCCCTTGGGGATGTCACGGTGATGATGATGATGATGATGATGATGATGGTTAGGATGGGAAGAAATCCACCAAACTTATAATGTCAAGACGAGGAAGGTTGAATTGGTTGTGATGATGGAAAGTTGTGGGTGTTGGGGTGTGGTGGTGGTGGTTGTTGCAAGCATTGGCCACCCAAGGTTTATGGCGGGTGGCAGGAGTGTTTGGGGGCAAAGGAGGGAGAGGTAGGGTGTGTGGAGGGAGGGTTGCGGGATAAAATGTCCGGTGGAGGATATCACGTATACAGAGGAAGGGATTAGCTTTCCTCGTTGATGTCACCACCATACACACACACACACACCATCAACAACACTATACACTTTTGGTTCTTATCTTATTATCTTACTATAGCAAACTGATCCTTGTATGATATTGAGAAAAACTACTTACTTAGACCTCAAACTTTAGGGGGTGGTAATGAGACTCCGAGCCTGTTATTAGTACATGGCATTGATACAATATAATACAGCCTAATGCCATTTGTATTGGGTAGGGCATAGTTAAACCTCAAATGTTTTTTCTGGTTTTATGTGATGAGTTTCAAGTGTTAAAACCTCCTGTCACATGGTCGGCTTTGAAATTTTTCGAATATGCTTGAAAAAAAATGTAGCTTAACTTTTTATTTATATACCGTACAGATAATATAAAAGCCTTTGTGATATAGTGTAGGTTGTTTATAAAGTGCTGCTATAGTGTACTAGGTTGTTTATAAAGTGCTGCTATAGTGTGCTAGGTTGTTTATAAAGTGCTGCTATAGTGTGCTAGGTTGTTTATAAAGTGCTGCTATAGTGTGCTAGGTTGTTTATAAAGTGCTGCTATAGTGTGCTAGGTTGTTTATAAAGTGCTGCTATAGTGTGCTAGGTTGTTTATAAAGTGCTGCTATAGTGTGCTAGGTTGTTTATAAAGTGCTGCTATAGTGTGCTAGGTTGTTTATAAAGTGCTGCTATAGTGTGCTAGGTTGTTTATAAAGTGCTGCTATAGTGTGCTAGGTTGTTTATAAAGTGCTGCACAGTGTGCTAGGTTGTTTTATAAAGTGCTGCTATAATTGCGGTTGTTTATGATGCCTTTATAGTGTTGGAGTTGATTATAAGAATGCTTTATAGTGTGCTGGGTTGTTTTATAAAAAGTGCTGCTATAGTGTTCTAGGTTGAGTATAAGTGCTGCTATAGTGTGCTAGAGATGTTTAAAGTGCTGCTATAATTATTATGGGTTGATTATAAAGTGCTGTTATAGTGTAGGTTGATTATAAGAAGTGCTGCTATAATTGTGCTGGAGTTGTTTGTGGCAAAGTGCTATAATTATTGCTTTGGAGTTGTTTATAAAGTGCTGCTATAGTGTGCTAGGTTGTTTATAAAGTGCTGCTATAGTGTGCTAGGTTGTTTATAAAGTGCTGCTATAGTGTGCTAGGTTGTTTATGAAGTGCTGCTATAGTGTTCTAGGTTGTTTATAAAGTGCTGCTATAGTGTGCTAGGTTGTTTATAAAGTGCTGCTATAGTGTGCTAGGTTGTTTATAAAGTGCTGCTATAGTGTGCTAGGTTGTTTATAAAGTGCTGCTATAGTGTGCTAGGTTGTTTATAAAGTGCTGCTATAGTGTGCTAGGTTGTTTATAAAGTGCTGCTATAGTGTGCTAGGTTGTTTATAAAGTGCTGCTATAGTGTGCTAGGTTGTTTATAAAGTGCTGCTATAGTGTGCTAGGTTGTTTATAAAGTGCTGCTATAGTGTGCTAGGTTGTTTATAAAGTGCTGCTATAGTGTGCTAGGTTTGTTTATAAAAGTGCTGCTATAGTGTGCTAGGTTGTTTATAAAGTGCTGCTGCGGTATGCTAGGATGTTTATAAAGTGCTGCTGTAGTGTGCTAGGTTGTTTATAAAGTGCTGCTATAGTGTGCTAGGTTGTTTTATGAAGTGCTGCTATAGTGTGCTAGGTTGTTTATAAAGTGCTGCTATAGTGTGCTAGGTTGTTTATAAAGTGCTGCTATAGTGTGCTAGGTTGTTTATAAAGTGCTGCTATAGTGTGCTAGGTTGTTTATGAAGTGCTGCTATAGTGTTCTAGGTTGTTTATAAAGTGCTGCTATAGTGTGCTAGGTTGTTTATAAAGTGCTGCTATAGTGTGCTAGGTTGTTTATAAAGTGCTGCTATAGTGTGCTAGGTTGTTTATAAAGTGCTGCTATAGTGTGCTAGGTTGTTTATGAAGTGCTGCTATAGTGTTCTAGGTTGATTATAAAGTATTTTCGTTGGTTATTTGGTATCTTAAGAAGTGTGATGTGCCCTCACCCTGGCTGGAACCTTCAAATATGGTACGTCATGCAATGGAGGAGGAGGAGGGGGGGGGGCAGTGTTGCTCGTCTCATCTGTCAGTGAACGGCTAAACCTACAGAGTAAGGCAATGTTAAGATCCAGGAGAAACGGCTTCTGGGCGAATATCTTCAATTTACAACTAGTAATTAATTAAGCTGGGGTGCTCGATGTCGATGGAGGGAAGCGCCAACCACGTTAATTAAGGTATACAATTCATTAGCGTTTATAGTTGGTGGGGGGGTCGTGGGCTCTGGTGGGAGGAACCGGCCTGGTCACTCACACCGTGTTCACTGCGATTGATCTCTCTCTCTCTCTCTCTCTCATATATATTCTATCGATATCTTGTCTAGCATTGACCAACTTAGTTCACATTTTTTCTTTATCACATTTTATCATCTCTCGCTGTTAGTTCGTGTCTGTGGACTTTTTACATGTGTATTGTCCGCTTTCCCCAGTCAAGTGTAATGGGATGACATGGCTTTTAGAGAGATGGCTGCCGTGTGTGTGTGTGTGTGTGTGTGTGTGTGTGTGTGTGTGTGTGTGTGTGTGTGTGTTTTGTCTGGGGAAGATAATGGTGGGAAGCCATGTGGAGGAGGCAGTAGGAGACGCAACAACACCACCTCGGTCTGGTGTGTGTGTCGGTCGTTTAAATGAAGTTGGATTACCTTAAGATTATTACTACTTCCTCCCGTCTCCTCCTCTCTCCTCTCATAGCTTATTTCAACCTGATGATTACCCCCCGCCCCCCCCCCCACCCCCCCAGTGCTACTACTTGGAGAGAGGGGGGGGGCTCTTGATCTTCAGGTGTTCCATGAAGTGTGTGACCCTCTCTTGTGGAGTTTTTAAACGGGCTGATAGAATTGTCTCAGAAGTTGACGAGTGTGTTGCAAGGGGCCATTGTTGTGGTGAGGGGCGGCGACTGTTCACACATGTGCTTGAGGAGCTGGCCGAGAGGTGTGAGAGAGACACTGGGGGTGGCGGTGTGACTCACGTCTTAACACTCACTAGAGTTACGAAAGTGCTGCCTCCTCTTGTCTGGCTGGGCAAGCTGCCAGACAACGTTAATCATACAGTGCCACAATGTTATTCTCTCCGTGACGTGTAATTTTTTCCCCCTCTCTCTCCTCCCCTCCTCTTCTTCGCTTCCCTCTTAGGCGACTGTGCTGTGGTCAGTGTTCTTTATATGGTGATAGGTTATGTTTGTGTGTGTGTGTTTGTTTGTTTGTTTTGATGGTAATAGTTTATACCTGTTCATATGTGAAGAAAAAAGTTACTTGATGAAAGTTATATTAGCTTTTGTAGATTATATCAGAAAGTAGATATATTACACACGTGACATACAGTACATCAAGAAGGTTAAATGAGACTCGAGATGTATTGCTGTTTGGTAGTACAATATGTAGGTTTTTTCGGGGGTGGTTATTGTCGCATGGCGTTACTTAGCGCAATTCTTCAACTCAGCCAGAATTTACTAGAGCTGAAGTTCTGGAATGTTTACAGGGCACGGTGGTGTGTGTGTGTGTGTGTGTGTGTGTGTGTGTGTGTGTGTGTGTGTGTGTGTGTGTGTGTGTCCTTCAGAAGTTCTTGGGGGAGGGTTGTGCATGATGTGATTAATTTGTAAGCTGCGGGGAGAAAAGGGACGGAGGAGAGTAGAGAAGGAAGTGACAGGAAGGCGATAGAAAAGATAAGAGAAGGAGAGAAAAGAAAAGAGGAGATGAGAGAAGAGAAATTACTAGACCCCTCTTGTTAAACCTGAATGGGGAAGTCATAATGTGAGGGTAGAGAGGAGGAGGAATATCCTGTACCTCAGTCCAGTAGAGCCTCAGGTAAACAAACTACTACTACAACATTCAACTCATTACCACTGGGTGAAACCAACGTAGGAAGAACGGGAATAAGATGACGTTTAAGAGTAGGTGTAAAAGTTCACAGTTAGGAGGGTTAAGAGGAGGAAGAGGAGCATCACCAGCAGTAGGGGTGAGCAAGAGGTGGGTGGGTGGGCGGGTGGGTGGGCGTGAAGGCAGCCAAGTAGCGGTCATAGGAGGTCGTGTTGCAGCAACCGCCTCCTAATCAATACGGCCGCGTGATGACGCCTTTGTCTCGTTCTGTGTTGCAGCAGGTGAACATACGTGTGTGTGTGTGTGTGTGTGTGTGTGTGTTTTGAGGGGTGGGAGATACTGCCCTCATTGATCATCGTATGGAATAATTCTCTGTCACCTTGACTGCTTAGGTGGGGTGTCTTGGCAAATGTGTGGGGACTTCGGTCAGGTTATTGGGCGAGGGGGGATGTGGTGAGGGGCGCTTGACAGGGTGTGGGTGGATGACTAACCAGGACGTGAGTGTAAGAAGTGGACTTGGATCATGCCATGGGTGGTTGTGGGCTGGGGACGTTGCTAAGGGAGTGGGCGTGGGATAATTAGCCTATGGAAGGGGAGACGGAGGGTGTAGGGTGCGTTCTGGTCTAAACTGTCCAGCCTATATAGTGTTATTAGCTGCTCTTATTGGTCACCCATTCACTCGCACTCACACACAGAGAAAACCAAAGAAAGATCCAAATTGTAAATGAAAGAAATATATATCGTTTTTAAATGTAATAAACCCAATTTTGTGTTTAAGTGAGACAGTCTAAAGTCACATCCCAGTCCACAAATTTAATCGCCAGTCAGTGTTGTTTATTGAGTAATTTCCTCTACACACCTGTACATACCTGAAGATGGAACACTGTCATAACTCGCCTCAGTGACACAACTAGCTTAAACTGTACTCACCGCTGTCAGTGCCATAAAAGAGTGTGCTCACTATAATCCTCATTTAGAATCAGATGCGATATTTTTTTAATGTATTTTGTATTCATCCTGATCTCAAGTCTCGTCGAAGTGAGGATTTAGAATACAGTAATAGTTAAGGCGCTGTAACCTGACCTGTATTTCGTGGTTGGAGTGGAAAAGTTATACGTTTTTGTATCCTTGTCCTTTGAGGGAAGTCACGTGGGTCGCCGTCCCTCAAGCTCGCGGGCACAGATGGGGGTCGGTCTCATACTGTTGGTTAGGGATTATCTTCCTTTCTAACCTGTGCCATGTCCATAAGCCATCACCATACCTCGCCTCCGTTCCCGAAATTGATTTTTTTTAGGTTTACTATTGTTCCCAGTCTAAGCCTTTTTTTTTTCTCTCCTCGTCCGGGTGACTTTGTACTGTTTGCGCTATCATTGATTATGTCCTAGAGAGAGAGAGAGAGAGAGAGAGACACACGTTCCCTCTATTGTACGCGTGTGGGAGACAGTGTGCTGCCCCTCGTGAGATACTCTCTACAACGCCTTTACTTTGTCTCTTCACCAGGGTTAGGGAAAGTAGGTCATAGTTATACCTTCCGCCGTTATTGTTCATTCTTTATCCTTACAATGGAGAGGGGGAACGGGGTGGAGAGGGGCGGTAGGAGAAGAAAATTAGGGCTCTGTTGAATGAAGCTTCGTGGAGGGGGGGGGGTAGGTAATCCTCCGGTGATCTTTTATTCTAACCTAACGAGCAGGTAAATAATTAATTGTGTGTAGGCTTCCACTGTGTAAAGTTCCCGCGTAATCATATGGTTTATTATTGTTGGATGAGGTAGAGGGGGGACGAATTTGTGTGTGTGTGTGGTATACTCTTACAATGATGATGATGTAAGGTAATGTGACCCACCAATCACGTCACTACACAAGACACACCTTTGCTATAGGTAAACACCGTTCATTATTACACAGAAAACAGGTAAAAAAAAAAACCACACCAGGTTCACCTCGGATACCAAATTGGTCTGATAAGGTTAGGTTAGGTAAGGTTATATTAATGCTGTATATCACCTCACCCACCTTCGTCTGGTTGATTCACACACATTGGACAACGCCCAGATAAAGTAACCACCCACACCAACACAGCTTTAGTGCCAATGGTGTTCCTCTAGAATAAGTTTGTTAAAATTCTCTCGTTTTTAAGGTAGGGGAGTGAGTCGGTAGCCATGCTGGTGTAATGTGTTGGTGTGGGGGGAATAATGGTATATGGATTGGCGAAGTCTTAGGTGTGGAAGTTATGGTGGGTTGGTGTGGAAGTTATGGTGTGTTGGTGTGGAAGTTATGGTGTGTGGGTGTGGGGAAGTTATGGTGTGTTGGTGTGAAAGTTATGGTGTGTTGGTGTGGAAGTTATGGTGTGTGGGTGTGGAAGTTATGGTGTGTTGGTGTGGAAGTTTAGGTGCGGAAAAATAATAGGGTGATGGGGTGGTGGTGAGGGCAAGGTATATAACAGGCACAGGTTTGGGAGCTTGGGTGATAGGGGGGGGGAAGACTTCAAGATAAGGCTCGGACTAACTCGTTACACAGTATACCTTTTATTACCTGATAACACGGCCATGAGTCACCTGTGTGTGCTGCTGATTAAAAAAAACTCAGCCAACTTGTATCATCCGTCGTTGCCATGGCTCGCCCCGCCCTGCCGCTTTTACACACACACACACACACACACACACACACACACACACGATAACGGTTTGGGTTGTTTTCGTTTTGTCGAGGTGGTGACCAGAATTCAAAGGGAAGGAGTGGGGGGGCGGCGGCGTGGGTTACATTTCCCTTCCTCCATCCCTCCATCTTCCTCCTTTTCCTCTTCTCTTCCTCCCTCCCTCCCTTCTTTTCCTCCTCCTCCTCCTCCTCCTCCTCCTCCTCCTCCTCCTCTTTCTTTCCTCCCTCCCTCCCTCTCTCTTATCATTCAGGAGGTGTTCTTGGCAGGTAATATACTCCCCAATAATGTTACGAAAATGAGGTCTCATGAGGATATTATCAGTGGCAGTACTCAGGGCGTGATTGATTAATGGTCATGAGTGAGGGGCCACTGGGCAATCACGTATCCAGGTGGAGGGAGAGAAGGAAGGAGGGGGAGGAGGGAGGCAGGCAGAAGGGCACCAGTGAGGAAGTTACGTTAAGGCTGGCGTATCCTCATTAACTACTAAAGAGGAGGAGGAGGGGAGGGAGGTCGTGCACCATCTGGACGTAGTCGTGTTGCCGTCTCATGTGATGACGACTTGGTGTGACCCCCCCCCCCTCCTCCTCCCTTGTACGGTGGCAGAGTGGTTCTCATACTGGAATGGATCTTCACCTTTTGTTCCATGGTTCGAACCCACACCCCTCCGCTCACCACCCCATTGAGTAGGGAATAACTTTAACCTTA